GGGCTCAGCCGCCTACCTGGAAGATCTGTATGCCCCGTGTCGTCAGCCCCAGCATCAGGGAGGCCTCCACTTCCCGTTTGTCCTACGGGGAAAAAAATTAGATGGTTTTAAATATATGATTTGCACCATCAAGTGGATAAATCTGCCCCCGGCACACGTATCCTCCTCTAATCACCCCATCTCCTGCACAGCAGCAACAGCCAGGGTGCCACATTAATCACAGAATTATTTAGGTTGGAAAAAGACCCTTATGATCATCAAGTCACATAATTTAGTTAATGATGCACAAACACACTGTCCAGTCACATCCCCAGCCTCCCCTCCCAGGAGCCTGCCGCCCCCTCACCGCCCAGAAAAACCCCAGCTTAAGGGGCTGGAAAAGCAGTTTGACCTCAGAAAACTTTAAAAGAACTTCAGAAACAGAGCTGGGGCACTTCTATGCTTGAGCCGAACCTGCTCCTGCGCTGGCACCCCGTGTTCTCCCGAAGGCTTCTCCCCTTTAATTTAAGGATGCTACAAACTGGTTTGTGAAGCACCAGCTCCCAGCAAACAAACCGCTTCATCCCCAGGAGAAAAACCCAGCAAACATTTCTTAGGGAAGGGATACCAAAAAATAAAAAACCAGAAACCTCACGGCTGTCTTCCTGCACCCTGGCAAACCTCTCGCCTCTCCATAACTTGTAGAAAACGGCAGGATTATAAAAAAAGTGTCATTTCCCCACCTCTGGGAGCAAGCACTGCCCTTGAGAACGTTCCGCTCCAGCTGGTGAGTGCCCATTCAAACGCAGCTGTCCCCAAAATACCGTAGAAATTGCTCAGCAGTTGCTTCTTTCAATAAAAATCAGCCCCAAACCCAAAGCCCAGCCCGGCTCACCTTGTACAACCTGTAGTAGTGCACGGCCACGTCGTCCAGCCGCACGGCCTCCTTGATGTACTTCAGATGGGCTTCGGAGGCCGTCAGGGCAAACTGGTCTTTGTGCATGTTGGGGACGTGCTTCAGGATGTAGTCCTTGCCCCTCTTGGCAACCACCTGTTTGGAGGAGAAGAGAAGCTCAGCCAGGAGAGATGCTCCGTGACTGTCTGGAGCTGGTGGGCAGCCCCGGTGCTCCCAGACAGCAGCGAATTCCAGGGAAAAGGGAAATTCACAGAATCACAGAGTGGTTTGG